TTATCTGCAAATTTATCATTTATCGAAATTTAAATAAAATAGGAAGAAAAAAGATGCATAAATCAAATAAGTTTTGGTGGGGGAATAAAGTAGTAGAATATTATAAGAAAAAAGTGATTTTAAACACAGAATTATATAATTTCAGTACTAAATTTAATATCCCTATTTTTTTTCTTTCTAACTAGTTTTCTGACAGTGGGTTTTAAAGATTTTTTACAACTATTTTTAATGAAATAAGGAAAGTGAAAATGTTTCTCCTTCCAAATACTTTCATTAGAAGTGAATAAGAGTTAAAAATTAAATCGGTACATTTTACGTTTCAGAGGCTGTATTTTTATTTTATTTTATATCGGCATATGACAAAGTGAAAGTTTAAATTATAAATATCTCAGGTAACGAAAAAAATAAGTTTTTCATTTATATGATGATTTCATTTTCTCCCTAAAAAGAAAAAAAGGTCTTTAGATGTCAAGGAAGGATAGAAAAATGTCCTTTAGTTTGATAAAAAAAGGTGACAAAATTTTTTATATATGAGGAGGTGCTGAAAAGTTGTATGTGCGATCAAGAAGCCGTTTAAAAAATTAAAGCTGATGCTTGGTCATTGGTAAAAATTTTTTTTTTAAATGTTCCCTGTATATGGAGTTGCTAACCATTGTTCTAAGACAAATGCTACAAGTGAAGTATAGTTTTTATGTTGATATGGCGGTAGGGGGTGCGAAGACTGCTGAAAAATGTCAGAAATAATTTCGGTAAGCCCCACGTTGTTTCAATGTATGAAACAATTTCCAAAACGACTGATATAATGATTGGAGATCATAAAATAATCCACACTTCTTGTCAGATTAGTGTGAAAGTGGGGAGGATCAAGATAATACTACACATCAGGTATATTTCGCCCAATAAAATAAGACAGTTTCAGAATAAAAACAGATCTTACACGTTGTTAAACAAAGAAAGAATAGAAAAAAAAATGTTAATTTTCTGAATTCTTCATCATTGTAAAGATAAACATAAAATAAAATTGTCTCATATTCTACAATCGTTAGTAAACAGAACGGAATTCAAGAAACTTTCAGCAAGAATCGAACACGTATCTTTTCCTCAGAAAGCCTATCTTTACACGACAGATACTTTAACTTTAGCAATTGGAGTTACGAAAAAATATTTCTTCACCCCCCTCCTATGAGGGATTATTTAAAAAATAAAATTTGCATTCATTCATGTTGAGAAAGATCGTGAAATTATCTGACTAAATTGTTAATTTCTTATATTTTATCAAATTAATTACAACTGCTCAAGCGAGATTTTCCCTTAAATTTAATTACGCTGATTTGGAATAAGACATGTTACCATTAAATAAAAAATCTTATCACTGGGAACTTCTTAATATTTACTATAATTTTCTGTAACTGATGTACCGGTGTAACAATGGGAATATTCTATTTAAAAATCGTTACTTTCAGAATCTGATCAGAAACTTGATAGAACTTTCATTTTGGGATTACATAATGCGCGCGCGTGTATACATTGATATGATTTATTTTACGCTATAAAAATGAAATTCAGTCTTCTTCCTATGAAGTTTTGGCATAAATATTTTAAATTACAAAATTAAAGAAGCGTTTTGATGTCCGTTAAAAATTTGATCACATTATTCACTGGGGAAACTTCAGTTCATCTTTTGTTGTGTATCGAAGCTCAGAATGTAATGTGTTGTAATGTATTTTTTTTTTTTACTCGGTCCGTAAGGTAAACTCGTAAAAAGTTTAAAACTTTAATCAAATCGAATTTACTCAGATATTGATCGATTTCTGAAACACTGAAATATTGAAGATTTTACAAAAAAGCGAATTAAAATATTGAATCCTTGAAATTTTAGATGACAATCACCCAAATCTCCTAAGTCTTCCGATGAAAACTGTAAACTATTACCTGCGGAAGGCAACAATTTGAATTAATACTTTTCATTCCAATGACGATGACTAACATAAATGACCAAAATTGAATGCTAACAGAAAAATAAACACTTTGATTTATGTACAGATTTGTTTTTGGAAAAAGATACTTTATAAGATAATTGATCATCACAGGAAAACCTTTTTTATTTTTACAAATTTAGATGGGATCAATAAGTCCGTAGCCGGATCGTATTCAATTATTAACTGAATTTTTAATTGAGTAATAATGTCCTATCTAGATTTTTTTTATGTTTGTTTCTTGTTCAAAATGCTAAGTCTGAATTTAAAATAAAATAAATCACATTGCTTCTTATAATAATAAAAATTATTATTCGTGGCGCATTTCTTAAAATCATTACATACAAACAATCTGTAAGTTCTGAGTTTTATAATTTATTTAGAACAATTTAAATAATAAATCTCGGATCATTAAATTGTTTGTGTGAATGAATGTTACTGACGTACCACCTCTACTAGAATTGTTATTATTATTATTATTATGGCTATTTTTCTATAGCGAGGTGAGTTAATAATCGTCATTGGTAAATATTGCAAATTGATCAGAAATATTTTATTTTTATACCCGACAAAAAAAAACAAAAAAAAAAAACAAACTATTGAACGAAAATTAGTCCATAGTCAGAAATTGTTTGCATACAAAATTTCTACCGAAGAATTTTAAAATGTTGTCAGGTTTAAATAGCGTTTTAGCAATTAAAAACAAGAACTGTACATTTATTTTAAGCTCAAGGAAATTTGTTAATTTTAATGGAACTTTATTTATTTTCATTCATACTAGGTTTGATAAGACAAACGTTTTATAAATTATTTATTTTACAAAATTACTGAAACATTGAAACAAGAGTATGAAAAAATTCACATTTCTCAACCTAAAATAACTGTCAAGAGAATTGAAAATACAAATGACACTTATTTCGATGAAATGCGTCACTTAAGTAAATACACACGGCACGAATCCGTCTCATTTAATTTTAAACAAAACAAAATTCTCATTTAGATTTCTACACGTGAGATACAATTATATGTGGACGGACACGTCCTATTTAGTTTCTTTTTCATTTCTTCCCAGTAAAAAAAAAAAAAAAAAAAAAGATGCAGTTCATAGAAGTTAAAAATAAAATTTGAGATACTTCTGCTGACTGGCATTTCACCTGTCACTCTTCATAGTGAAAGAAGAATTTGCTGTTTCAAAATTAGGCACTTAATACCCTAAATTGTTTGTATGTAATTTTAATTATCAAATCCGAATAGTTAAAAAATCAGTTTTAGTAGTTAATGTAACGAGGAGGAATCTTCAATTTGTTTTTCTTTTTAGACGAATACAGTCCAAATATCCACTTTTCATTTTTTTGAAAGAAAAAAGGTCAGTTTGTATTTAACTGACTCCCTTTTTTAGTTTAGTTCAGGGTACCCGGTAATTTATTTTCCCAAGAGTAGAACCACAAATTACTTTCAAGGAATTTTTTGTATGCGAGACAAGCATTTAGAAGAAGACAAAGAACGCATTGTAAAATTGGAAGTTAATGTCTTATAGGTTTTTTTTGCTGTTTTACTTTTAAAGAATAATTTTAAAAGTTACTTGGAGAAATAGCGAAACAGTTTGTTATTCACTATTAACAGGAAGATAATAAAATTTATTTTAAGACTTAAACATTTACAGATTTCAGAATAAAAATATAAAATTGAAAACCTCGAGCAACGTATTTTGCAAATATAAATCTTAGTTGTTTTAAAGAATAATTGACCTGTTAAAAATTCATTTTTCCCCTTAAACAAATTATCAAAACAATAGTGACAAAAATGTCATGAATTCCATAAAAAAGTATATACATAAAATTTAAACTAACTTTTTCATTAATAATATTTTTTATTTTAAGATCATTTATTCGATTGAAATTTTTTTAGCAAAATACGAACCATTTTTAATTTTTACCGTTTTTTGTGGGGCTAAATCTGCATGAATAGATTTTGTTAGCTTTCATTTAATAATTTGTATTTTTAGAAAATCATATAAAAACGATTTTTACTTTTTTTTCCTTATTTATAAATATTTTAGTCGGATGACAGCACTATCACATAGATATTTTTAAATTTATAATTCTATCTAAATTTTTTATTTTGGTAATAATTTTGAAAAAAAAAAAAAATAATAAATATAGAATAACATGAAAATAATCGAAAATGTCTTAAATAAAAAAAAATAAAAATTTTAAAGCGTTAAAAAATCACTTTCGACTCAGCAAAAGAGTAAAATAATCCCTTAAGTCTTAAATGTTTGTTTGTTTTTTTTTTTAGTGAAATTTTCAATAAAATTCTATTTTATTTTGTGCTGTGAACTAACCCAATAACCAACGAAAATGAAGATGTATGCGAAAATCTTAAGCATTTCACTCAGCAAAATAATTTGTTAAATGACGAGTTTTTCCTGTTAATGAATAATGTGGGTATGAGAGAGATAGAGACTAAGTAAATCATAGTAAATAAATTAAAAAAAAACTAAAGATTATTTGTGCTATCATCAAGATCATTTCTTTAAAAACGCCTTGGAAATTCAAATAAATACAAATATGCATTTTTACAATTCAGTGTTCGAAAATGTTAATAAAACTTGATAGAGCAATTTTCTTTAAAATATTGTCTAAACAAATAAACCACCTGGAGACCGTCTCTTTTCAACACATTACACTTCTCTTGAGAAAAAGAAATTAAAAAAAATAAACTCTTGAAAATGTTTGCCACAAATAATTACATTTAAAGAAAAAGTTTGATGAATTTTCCGTGACTATCTCCTTCAAATGATAATGAAACAAAAATCAAACTAATTGCTTAGTTTAGTTAGAATGATGATTTGTCAATATAACAAAATTATAAAGTACTTCGCCGTGAAAAAAGCGCTATTTTATTCTATAAATTAAATAGGATCTTTAGTTCTATTTTTTTTTTAAATTCTGAAAATTTGGTTTGTATTTAAATAAAACATATGCAATACAGTCAGGTAGGTAGAAGAATTAAATTCCTTACCCGAAGATGGCCTGTCTGAATATCGCGTGCAGAAAACCCAGGCTGGATATTTGAATTGGAATCCCGTAGATTGTGGCAGGTTCTCGTTGGACTTTGGGTCAACTGGTGTCCCTGTCGTTAAGTCCTTTTTAGCAGTACCCAGCGACGTTGGTGATAATGTTTGTTGTTTGTCTGACTCAGTCTGTAGAATATGAGAAGAGTCTAGTGATGCTACCGAGATGGATGTCAAATGTGTAGACGATTTGGATGGCGAACATCTCCTCTGGTCAGACCCATAACGAGAGGAATTTTTCTTCTTACCCGAAGGAGGAACGCCAGAATTTTGTGAGACTTTTGATGAGGGGGAGGAAGGAGACGATAAAGATGACTGGGAGAGAGAAGAAAAAGGAAAAGAAGAAGAATGAAAGGATTTTAGTCTGCGTACAACAGGACTAAGTGTTGCAATTGTGGTTGTACCCGTTTCAAAGGGTTTTTTACCAAATTCAGGTTTTAATATATCGTCAATGAAAAAGTTGGTAAACTTTCTCGTCAAATCCGGAGGATTGTGTGCGTCTTCGTGGGTAAAAATTGCAGACAGAGTTTTTACTTGTTCCTGAGATTCAGGCGTGCGTCTATTTTGATAATAAACGCATTCACCGGTAGATTTCTCTCTCATTTTGTTAGCGTTGTTGTTTTTTTTGTTGATTTGATGTTGATAGTCCGTATCGTAGCGTTTAATTCGTGTATTCTTGGAAGTTAAATTGCAACCAACGTCTTTCAATTCTTCTGTGTTGTTGGTATAGGTTTGTGTAGGAGTAATATCGATTATTTTAAATTCTGTTGTTTCTAACAATGTGTTGTTATCTTTATTATTACTGTCTTTGTGGTGACCACCATCGATGCCGCTATCTGCGTCGTCTTCGTCACCACTACAAACACTACCGCTACTACTACTATTACTGCTACTACTACTAATAATACTACAACTTCTTCTGCCATTTACACTTGTACTACTACTACTACTATCATGACAGTTGCTGAATTTACATTTCATCATATCCTTATCTTCGGTTTCAACAAAGTCAGCATCGATATCGTCGACTTTGATGTCAACATCTTCGACGTTATCCATTTTCTTTTCTATGTTGCAATGTTCTGGGAGGTTTGACGAATGAAAATAAGTCTGCTGTTTGATATCTCCGTCCGGTCTTTTCAATCCGGTAATATTGGCGTTTGGGTGGAGTCCAAGACGTTCCTGCAACATTCTCCTTTCTTTCTCTATATAATCACCATGACCCTCTCGCTTCTCGCCATCTTCACTCTTTTCTTTACACTCCTTATGGGAGGGACTAAGAATTCCGCGCTTCTCTGTAGATCGAAGTTCTTCTTTAACAACAAAAGGAAGTGATGTCTGACGACCGCTCTGTTCATAACAATGCGAATGAAAACGATGATGAGGAAAACGAAGTCCTTGCAATTGTTGGAGATTTGTCTGTTGTTGTAGGAAATGAAATAGTTGTTGGTGGTAGGAATAGGGACCTTGTATTTTCAAAGGGTTATAAATCGATTCCTCAGTATAATCAGTACTTTCATTATCAAACTTTCGGTCGCTCCTTTTTTCACAATGTTCAACTGAACTCCGTTGTGCCTGTTTAAAATTTTCTACTTTATCCAACATTTTGACGAATTTCAGCTGCGTACTATTCTTATTGTCTGCTTTTATAAAACTTCTCAATACATCGATTGATAAATAACCACTGGTGTCAAATCTCGTTGGTAAGACTGGCAACACGGCCCAATTTTGAGCAACTAAGTTATGAAAGCAACGGTCTTTTACTTAATTTGTCTACTGTTGATCCCAGTTGTAAATGTTATCGTCACGACGCCTCGCTAGCGAGCGTTAAAAGAAAGAAAGAAAGCTCCGCTCTCTTCCGTCCTCTCTTTCTCTCTATGAAGTGTCGTTTTTTATTACAACATCGAGAGAAAAAAAACTGTCCTTGCGCAGGTCTTCACGCTGCTGCTTGTGATATTATGACGAAACAAACTGTCAGGAAAAACTAGCAAATCCGGGAACGAATTGTATCCCGTCGTTCAATGTTTTTATTGGCGAAAAAGCAGTAGTAAAAAAATAAAAAAATAAAACCTACGGCGTTTTTCCCCTCCTCCTCTCATTACTAATTTAGGTTCTCACAGTTGGATGCCGCTCCATGCGCGCCTAACGCTGTTTCGTTGTTATTTTTGATAGCAGGGGGAACATGTATAAGCCGTGTACAGATTACTACTATTAATGATGTAGTTTACTAGTTTCTCCCTGTTCATAGCTATCGCTACGAAATAGAACATCGCTTCTTTCGGACTTTTTACTTGATAGGTAAACTCATCACAGTGTAAAAACCTAGGGTAATAAAGGTTTATTTATTTTTAGACGTTGAAATCTAAGATATGAATGTAAAAAAAAAAAAAAGATGTAGGTGCATTCAAAATAAGTTTGATTTTAGGGAACTAAAATGCTTTTCTTTCTCTTTTAGTTAAGTTTTTAAAAAACACTTCGTAAAGATTTAGCAAAGAATATTCACTTAAGAAGTGTTGATTGCGATTCATTGATGGATAATAATGCCTACAGCTGCAAGAGAAGTATTTTGATTTTGATTGAAGTAAAAAGAAATATTTAAATGTCAGCTTGCGAGACTTGCCCTCATGTACCCTTCATGTAAGTACACACGTACTAAAAATCAATGAGAAACAATCAGTTATTTTAACTAAAAAAAAATCAATAAGTTATTTTAACTAAAAATCAATCATCTAAGTGAATTCAGATGAAAGTATTTATCTGTTTAATTTATATTTGGTAAATTTTAAAGTTTTATCTCGAATTAGCTTTTCTCTTGTTAAAATTTTTTGTTGGGCGGATATTGCTTGAAAATAGATTCGATACAAATAAAAGAAAATATGAATCACAATTTCTAAAACTGACGTGAAAGAGGATATTATTTTGATAAAATTCAATGCTTTTCTTTTCTGTTAGTAAAAAGAAACGTTACCCTCAGTGGGCACAAAGAACAAATACCTGTTTAAAAACGTTTAAATAATTTGAACTTCTGTCTGAAGCCCCGAGACGAATTCTATCATGATACACTGAAATTGACTAATGTCCTGTGTTTGACACGGTTACAACATTTCAGCCGTTATACTCTCTGGCCTTCTTTGAATTTCCTTTGAAGTTTTATTTAATTTGTTTCTGTATATATTTGTTTCAAGTGCGTCTTAAAGGAAAATATTTTATAAGATTAAAAATCAGTACGTCTCTAAAATTTCAAAAATACATTTCTAACAAATACACTTGTAACGTTTACTGTCAAAATTTAAGCGAATAAAAAAAAAAAAAAAAACACACCAAAAATGTTCTCTTATTCAGTTTATGTATTTTCATAATTAAACTAAATTCACATCAAATATATACACGCAAATCTTTACTTGCAAATGCTCTCTCTCTCTCTCTCTCTCTCTCTCTCTCTCTATATATATATATATATATATATATATATATATATATATATATATATATATAAATCTTTATATCGATAAATTCTAAAATTTAGTTTTCGAGAGAGAGAGGGAACACTTGATATTGGTATTTTTTCTTCTTATATGAGTGTTTTATTTGTTTTAATATGAAAATTGACAAGAGTGTTGTGAAATAAGATGACTAACTTTTAATAATTTTTCATCATTTTAGTTATATAACTGATTCACTTGTGAAGTGGGCGTCCGCTGCTAGTTTTTGGAACTTGGAGCAGAAGAATATTCGGAATATATAGGATGTGTATAATGACCATGCTTGTAAAAACAGTTAGAACACAAGAAGCAATAATTCTTGCTTTGAATACTTATCTTAAAGATTATATGACCTACAAACAAAAACTAACATCGATTTTTAGCATTGGTAGTTTTAAGTAAAATTTAAACAAATTTCGTATTAATTTTTTAAAAGTTCTCTGACATAGACATACATGTTTAATTATTAAAATACTCTTGTTATTAATTCAAATGGTCCACCAACTGCAAAATAATATTACAGTATGCATCACATTCCCTTACATAAAATATCACTCATAATGTAACAGAATGTAACAGGTGCATAATGGTGATTTTAGATTTTAGAAACATATTACAAAGTACATTTGTTTAGCAATATTGGTAAGGTTATTGGTTATAAAATTTTAAATTTACTGACCGAAATTCATATCAGAGAAAACAAATTAAGTTAAAAAAAAAAAATGATAATTGTTTTCAAGTTTGTTGTCATTATTCTATTTAAAACGACCCAAACAATAATTGTTCGTTACATAATAATCAAAAATCAAAATAAATATATCAACAATTTGTTATCCGGCAATTTTAAAAACAGAAAGTTCGTTAGAAAAATGTCAATAGTTTTAGATAAATTAAAATAAAATTAATGATCGTTGAATAAAATATTTTCCATTCAAAGGGAATTTGATTCAATCGTCTGATTATGTAGATATGTGGATGATAATATAGTTCTTTTTTCATCTGTTCAAATGAAGACATAGTCACAAATCAGTTTCGGTGTCAGTACTCAGACCTTTGAGTCATCCGTGAACCTGATAAAGGATATCAGACGAGTAAAGGCCCCGAAGAAACACGAAACCCTGGCGATCATGGACGTAGGCGATCACAGATACCTTTTCTTTTCTTTATTATCTGTGAATTGCCAGAGCTGGGTGATAGGAAGAAGGAGTAAAAACGCAATAGATAAAGAAAAGATAAAGCCTGAATTTGAACTTGGTTCATTGATTTCATTTCCCTCGTGGTAAAAATGCAGAATAACCCTCCGCGATATTTATTTAAAGGGAAATTTGTAGTAAAAATTTATTAAAACTTAACTGGCCTTTTATTTTTTTAAATTTTAAAATGATTTGAACACTTCAAATTTACATTTCTAAAAAAAATTCCCCTGAAGAATCAAATCTATTGACAATTTAATTTAGGTATGTCCGTGAGATCGCTGGAAAATGAGCATAGCATGATAAAAATGGCCTTAAACTTGACGAAAGCAAAATTTTTATCGTCAAAATGTTTATGTTACTATTAAGAAGAAAGAACAAAGTAATTTTTAATTATTTTTTAAAACATTTCTGTCTTTATTAGAATATTCTAACTTTTGATTGAAAAACCTTGTTTCTCTTCATCACTGGAACTTCTAGTAAATAACATGGCGAATTTTTTGTATATTTTTTATGACAGACATTAATTTTGAAAATAATTGTCAGATTTTAATTAAACTTTCAGAAACTATTCAGGAATGATGGAAATTATTATAAATATGTTATTTTTTTTAAGTCATGATACAAATATATATATATATATATATATATATATATATATATATATATATTACCCACCCCCATAAATAATTTAATGAAAACTCTAGAAATTCAATGTCGAAGTACGGAAGGCATTATTAGTTAAAAACACAAGGCTTTGAGGAAAGTAAATCATGTTTTTTTTTGTTTTTTTTAAATCGGACCTCATCTACCTAAAATCTGCTCTGAATTGTAAGAGACAAAACTCAATAAAACAAAGATATTGTTTAATTTCAAATGCTTTTAGTTGCTTTTATTTGTTTTTATGAATATGCATAATATTGTCTGA